CAATAATTTGAGAATCTACGACCGTTAGCCCGCTAATTACAAAAGAGAGATTGAATAATTATGGATAAGCTTTCCACCATATAACCGAGTAGCTCTTCTATGTTTCAGCGGTCATGTAAAACCAATCCTCCAATAATGGGTTGTTCTGTTGTGGGTTCGATTCTTGCATTGCAAATATGCTACTCCGCACCGTACGGCCAATTTTGTTCCTCTCTCGCCACATAGTGTCGCGAATTGCCAGAAGCAATCATTTGAAGAGAATATGTCGATGCCGATATAGAACTTTTAAGAGTATGTTTTATTATTATGATTACGAAGGCTATATATAGTAAGACTTTGCTATCAGCTTCCTATAATCCAGCATTCCATAACTATAATTGATTTACAAAGATATGCAAAGATATTTCGAGATATTCCAATACGCCCCCTCAAGTCGGTTGACCGGAGGTTAATCCGAGCTTGACGCAGAGATCTTGAAAGGAGCTCCGAGGTAGTGATTTAGTGAGAACATCCGCCAATTGGTCTTTTGAGCTGACGTACGACACTCGAAGTTTGCCTTCTTCTACTTGACTGCGGACAAAGTGATAGTCGAGTGCCAAATGCTTCATGCGCGAATGGAACACCAGGTTGGCACTAAGGTAAGTTGCTCCGATGTTGTCACAGTACACTGCCGGTGTTGACGACGAGGCTTGGCCGAGTTCACGAGCAAGGAGACAAGTCACCGAATCTCCGCCGAGGCATTGGCAATTGATCGATACTCGGCTTCCGTTGATGACCGAGAGTAACCAGTAAGTTTCTTGGAAGACCATGAGACCGGATGACGTCCGAAATAAACAATGTACGCTCCCGTCGATTTGAAGTCTCCATGATCACCTACCCAGTCCGCGTCACTAAAGGCATGCAGGGCCGGAACATTGGTGGCTGTGAGAGTGATACCCTTGTCGCGAGTTCTGGCTAAGTATCGGAGAACACGTTTCGCCGCTGTCCAGTGTTCATCCGTAGGGGCGCCCATGAACTGGGAGAGTTTATTTACCGCAAAACTGATGTCGGGTCTAGTGAGAGACAAGTATTGAAGACTTCCGATAACTGCTCGAAATTCGGTGGGTTCTGCCAACTGTGTACCCGAGCCTAAGGTGAGTCTGGAAGTCGAGGCCATGGGAGTGGTGACCGGTTTAGCATCATACATGTTTGTACGCATGAGAAGGTCATTTATATATTTCCGTTGCCCAAGAAACAAGCCTGAATGTGTCCGAGATGCTTCCACGCCCAAGAAGTACGATAGAGCTCCTAAATCTTTAAGAGCAAACCGAGTCGAGAGTAAGGCAATAAAGTCAGCAATCCGACTAGAACAAGATCCCGTCACCAGCAAGTCATCCATGTAGACCAACACAAAGAGTTGAACTTGTGCATTCCAAAGGATAAATAAGGAGGCATCGGCTAAGGAGTTGACGAAGCCTTGAGCAAGAAGAAATGACCGTAATTCCGAGTACCATGCTCTTGGTGCTTGCTTTAAACCATAAATTGCCTTGTGGAGCTTGCATACAAAAGTGGGATTGTCTTTGTCGACGAATCCGGGGGGTTGAGTCATATAGACTTCCTCGGAAAGACGACTTTGAAGGAATGCGTTATTGATGTCAAGTTGCTTAACATGCCAATCGTGAGTGACAACAATGCTGAGGATGAGTCGGATCGTAGTAGGCTTCACAACCGGGCGAAAAGTTTCCTGAAAATCCACGCCCGGACGTTGATGGAATCCATTGGCCACAAGACGAGCTTTATAACGGTCAATAGAGCCATCGGGATTTTTCTTGATGCGGAAAACCCATTTGCACCCAACTGTGTTTGTGACATTTGTCGGTGAAACCAATTCCCATGTACCATTGCGTATAAGAGCATTGAACTCTTTGCTCATGGCATGACGCCACTTTGGGTCCTTTAAAGCTTGGCTGACGGACGTGGGTTCCCTGTTGGATTTGGTGACAGAGGCAGCAAGTGTAAGTTTATGAGCGGGCTTAATAATGTTGTTTTTAGCTCTTGTTGTCATCGGATGGCGGTTCCGAGGCAGAGAAACAGCAAGAACAGGTTGAGACGAAGTAGATTCAGCCGTCGTCGTCCGTGTGTCGGAGACATGTAGAATAGCAGCCTCTGCAGCCTCAACTTCGGGCAGGGAAACCTCCTCTGTTCTCGCCGGTGAAGATTCCTTGCTCAGGGGTGCCAGAGATGGAGTTTGAATGACCGGCGGCCTGTAAGAGGGGACACAAGACACAAGAGAATCCGTGTAGAAGGAGGGTTCAGTGGCTGAAGAGGATTGAGTGTTGTGTTCGGTTGCAGCAAATGGAAACTTTGACTCGTGGAAAATGACATGCTGAGAGATAAACATACGAGATCGAGAGCGATCAAGGCATAGGTAAGCGCTTTGAGTGGTCGAGTATCCTAGGAAAACACAAGGTGCAGATTTTGGTTCGAGTTTGTGGGAGGTATATGGACGTAACCAAAGAAAGCATAAACATCCAAACACTCGGAGTTTGTCATAGTTTGGAGGGGAACCGAAAAGAGTTTGAAAGGGCGATTTCATGTGTAGAGTTGGGGTAGGCATACGGTTAATAAGATAGACCGCTGTGGTTAGGGCATAAGACCAATAGGAGATAGGTATAGATGCTCGGTGAAGAAGTGACAGTCCAGTTTCAACAACATGTCGCTGTTTTCGTTCGGAGATGCCATTATGCTCGGGAGTATGAGGAGGAGTGGTGCAATGAGAGATGCCTTGTGAAGCAAGAAACGATGCTAGGGCAATATATTCGCCACCATTGTCGGAGTAAAGGGTTGTGATTTTAGTCGAAAATTTGTTTTCTGTGAGGGCTTTGAATCGAATAAAGGTATCACGAACTTGAGATTTTTGTTTGAGGGGATAAAGCCACGAGTAACGGGTGAAGTGATCAACGAAGAGAACATAGTATTTGAATCCGTCAACCGAGATAATCGGTGAGGTCCACACATCAGAGTATAGTAGTTCAAGGGGACGAGAGGATGATAAAGTAGAATTAGAAAATGGAAGTTTATGACTTTTATTAACGGAACAAGAGTCACAAGGCAAAGAGATGGTATCCCGAGACAATGGCAAACCAAACTTAGACACGGCATGTTGTAAAATCGAACTAGAAGGGTGACCTAAACGAGAGTGCCACTCGGACAAAGTGGACTTTAGACACGTAAAAACTTGAGGAGATGATGACGAAATGAAAGGGGAGACCGGCCATTCATAGACTCCATCTTTAGGCTTTCCGGTTAGGAGTAGCGCCCCCGTGCTTAGATCCTTCACCTGAAAAGAACAAGGGAAGAATTCCACCGACACGTCGTTAGAATTGCAAAGTTGATAAACCGAAATGAGATTTTTCTCCATATTAGGTACACACAGCACGTTGTCGAGAGAGACATGTCGAGTAGAGGAGGGTAAAGATAATGAACCAGTATGTGTGATAGCTAAAGCCGAGCCATCACCGAGCATGACTTCATCGGCGCCTTGATAAGGTTGATGAAGTGACAGGTTCTGCAGATCCGATGTTACATGATGAGAGGCACCACTATCCACCAACCATGGTCCGTAATCATACGGAGAAACAACAGTGTGGTTGGCCCTCGGTTGCCATGGTCGAGGAGAGGGAGACCATGTCGAACCAGATTGATCAGAAGCCGATATCAGACGGAACTGCGAGCACCGCTGGGCATTGTGCCCGTGAATCCCGCAGGCCTGACAACGACCATTGTAACCTCGGGAATGACCTGTAGAAGATCGGTTCCAATGTGACCCACGAGAGCCACTGTTTCCGCGAAACTGTTGGCGAGAGCGAGAACCTGTGGGATTCGCCGTAACCGGAAAGGTAGACGAATTAGGAGCAACAGTGGAGGCAAGCTTTGCCTCATGGTTTATCAGCTTTTCATGAAGCTCTTCTACGGTAATGGCCACGTCTTTTGCATGAACCATGTCGACAATGGGCTTGTATTCTTCAGGAAGGCCAACAAGTATCGCTTCGAGTAGATCCTCAAGATCAAGGGGTTTTCCAAGGAGAGCCAACTCATCAGATTTGGAGACAATGAACCTGATGTATTCGTCAATTGTTTGAGTTCCTTTGACAGATCTCTTGATCTGGTCACGAAGTTGGAGGAGATGACCTCGGGAGGCCTTGCCATAGGTGTTAGCCAGAGTTTTCCATGCATCGCGGACAGAGGCAGTACGAGCAACCATTGGTTGCAAATTCACCGAGATGGCTCCGAGAATGGAGCTAAACAACAATCGATCTTGTTGCTTAAAGGGCACGAAAGCGGGGTTGGGAATGAGCACATCGTTCTCGAAGATCATGGCAGGCGGCACCACTGTGTTGTTGAGGACAAAGCAATCGAGTTGATGTCCTTCTAGCAGGGCTAACACTTGAATACTCCAGGTGATATAATTTGTCGGGGTTAACTTGGTGATATTTGACATATTGACGTTGAGTAGTGTCGCTTGCGGGTTCGTCGGATTGAACGAAGTTGCTGTTGCAGGAGCTTCGGTTTGAGACATGATTCTGGGTTTTCGTTACAGCGAGTCGGAGGAGGGGTTGCAGACAGTGATTGTCTACGTCGGCGGCTAGGGTTTCAAAAAAAGTCGTGAGACTAAATGGCTCTTGATACCATATAGAAATTTTAAGAGTATGTTTTATTATTATGATTACGAAGGCTATATATACATCTGTAAGACTCTACTATCAGCTTCCTATAATCTAGCATTCCATAACTATAATTGATTTACAAAGATATGCGAAGATATTCCGAGATATTCCAATAGGTGAAAGGAGTCTTGGGTCGGAGTATCATACCAGTGTATGTAGTCCTGTGGTCTCGAAGGTGGTCGAACGCAGCATCTCTCCGCATAGTGACGCCATATATATTGCTGCACTGAATCGGCATTCGAAAAAGATGTGGCTTTGTGTCTCATTCGTTCCACAGCATAATAAGCAGTTCCCTTCCATAGAACTGTAATAGCTTCTTTAGAAATCAACAATCACATTCAAAAGTCCGTACATAAACATATGAATATTGTCTCTAGTCTAGCTTCGTACCAAGACTCAGAAAAGTTGTTGTTTAGTTATTGGAACATGTTTCGAATGATTAACCTATTGCAATATTCATTTGGAAATGGAGGAAGCTGCCTGAAGGAGACAGTCATGGAGAGCTTCAGGGGCAGAAAAGAAGGCGGAGTGATCGCTGTCTTCAAGAACAAACTGTTGAGAAGGTGGCCAACGATTCACTATACAGTCTTGAGCCGATGGAGAAAACATGTTATCTTTGGCTGTCTTCACATAAACACGTGGAATAGCTTCAATCTCGGGTGCTTTCTCGATTCTTCCAATGCCTTCGAACGCATTTATAGGCGATGGTCGCAGTAGTGTCGTGGCTAGTGTGTAATCCTGTAAATAGTTCAGGATGTATAAAACTATACATACATGCATAACTTTCAAAAGCAAGCCTTTGTACATGTTTGTGTATACATGTGTATATATATATATAGGGTCACCTCCATAGGGCTCTGATTGTAGTACGTTTGACGAATGTACTCTGGTTTCATCATCATGCTCGTGGGAGGCTTGTCCTTTCCGTTCCCGTAGATGTATTCCCATTTACTCTCGTGTTCGTTTTGCACTCCTTGATGAAACTATTGCCATTTACGTATTATTCTTTCAGATTTCCGAACAAAGATTTCGGTCTCGTGTTTAGGAAGAAGGTTCTTGTGCATGAGATGACTAAGAAAACATTAGACCTAATTTATTACAGAATATCTGATCCGTTATATATCTATGATTATTTGGTTGGAATTTGTTTTAAACTTTTCTTCTTTTCTATATTGAAGGAACTTATTCTACATTTTTATCAACATTACCCAAAAAAATTGTTATGATATTTTAATGTGGTATCAGAGTGAAACTTTCAACTATGAAGATTGATTTTTTTTTAATTAATTGTTTTCTTTGTTGTTTCAATCTTATCTCTTTTTTTTTTTTTCATTTTCTCCATAATCATCTGTCAAAAATCTAATGAACGAAACGATATAATCGGTTATATATTCTAATAATTATCCCGTGTCTCCATATACCCAGATTAAACATGAAATTTTGCTAAACGTGGACAAATTTGAGAAGATATTTGTGTTGACTTCATTTAGTTAGTGAGTTTAATCAATAAAAAAAATTCTCAGACATATACATACAACTATTGGTGGTTACTCACATTTTGTACAGTCGGTGGAACAGGGCTTCCAGGTTTAACCATGGCTGCTGCAACATAAACTGACATAGAAATTCGGTGAGGAAACGAGCACATGGCAGCCGTCGCGCTCCCTCCTCCAATGCTGTGGCTGACCAGTATAACCTGTAAGTTCAGTTCCACACATATACATATATACACACGTGTTCTTTTTGTTGCACATTCTAAGCGAATTTATGGAAGAATTATAACAAGTCTAGTACTTTCTCATTGCCCGGGAGCTCGGATAAGAAATCGAGGAGAGGTTTATTGTATTCTTCCAGCGAGGAGATTGTATTTGGATCGGCGAGATTTATGCCGGCACCCTTGAGGTCTATGCATGTAGCCTTGTGTCCATTCTCACACAACTTGTTCTTGAGCTTGTACCAGCACCACGCCCCATGTCCCGCACCATGCACAAACACAAAATGATGATGACGATGATGATTGTTCATGTCTCCCTTAATTTGTTGCATGTATATGCATTTGAGAACGTGTGTGAGAATACATATATACACTATATATATATGGAATGTAGTGTTCGAGTTATCAGGCGCAAAAGAGGTTGTAGACAGTACTTATGAATCTGATTGGTTGTCTTAAGTTTGGGTCATGTCCATTCGTTTTAGGGAATCCTTATCTTTTACATGAAATCAACTTTGCCAATACTATGTAAACATTCTTTTATTTATATATTTATCTTTACCAAAAAGAAAAACATTGCCAATACTCTGAGACTATATGTAACTTTCCCTCAGTGTCAAATTCGAGACCGAGACAGATCTGGTGCAACACATTGAATCTCCATTTTCTTGAAAATTATGGAGAGTTCACATAATTATAGTATTCATTTATATAATTCTCAATATATATTTTCCATCAATATATATATATATATATATATATATATATATATATATATATGCTTCCAAAAACTCAAATTCAATGTTCGATATATATACACCGCTCATTCACTATCTACTCTGTAGCAATGGATGGACCACCCACAGTGTCGTTATCCTTAATAACGCAGTTGAAACATGTGAACACAATATAGGACAAAACAAGTGATAAAACTTTGTCAAGAAACTCGATCCCTAAAACACACGTGAATGAATTCCCTTCATCTGACTTTTATGCCCATCTAAAAATCTGCATAACCACCTTCATCTTCATCTCTTTCATAGACAGTTTCTTACAAAATTTGCGGAATAATATAATATGTTTTTAATTGAACGAACATATATATATATATATATATATAATAGTCCATAACCAAAGGGAGAGTCGAACGAAGACACTCTTGAGTACCGAGTGTGGATATTAAGAACGTCCAATTTGCAAGAATTCTTTTATCAAATTTTATGCCAAATCCAAAATTCTTGCATCAGGCTCTTCATCTTCCTCTCTTTCATAGACTGTCGAAGCTTGAACTTCACTTAGGCAGTAGAGACTCCATTTCATCCTCCACGTAAGCCAAATTCGAGTTCCTCATAGCTTTGTTCTTCTCGTTTTAACATTTGAATTTCGTTTTTCGGGAACTCTTTTTCAGGCAATAAAACTCCTTAATTCACCATTTTTATCTACACCAATCCCTCTCTGGAATTCGATGCACAGCTTCACTAATTTTGTATCGCATGCGGACAACATATTCTCCAATCGAGACTGAGAGAGAAGAGAGAGAGGAGATCCCCTTTCACTGACCGTCAGAGACTCCACCGAAGTCGACACCGGATTGAAAGGCCACGCTACCAAACGCGACTCAAACTTTAGATTTTTTCCCAAATAAATCAATTTTTGTTGATGGTGTTAAACGTGAAACAAAATATGGCGAAAAAACGATGACTCAGCATTCGAAAATCCTAATAATCCCACGTAATTAGCCACGTATGTTAAATCAGTTTAGTTATTGAATCAGATTTGATAAAATAAAAAATAAAAACCTTAAAATCCCTAAGACTTTCTCAAAGAAGTCAATGGTGTGTCGGCGGACCTGCTTTTTCTTTTATGGCTTGCAGCGGTGGAGGCTCCATTGCTGTTGTGAAGGAGAAGATTGGAGGAGGAAAAAGATGGAGCATCTTGGTGATTGTTGTTGGAATCGTTTTGCATTGTTGTTGGTGAAGTAATCTATCATCAGATGCCCATTTTTTTTCCGGTGGCGGTGTTATAGTGGAAGTTACTAAAAAATAAGAATAACATCGGAGAATCTTTTGTTTTTCTTGCGGAGAGGTGAGATTTTTGTTTCTTCTTCTTCTTTTCTTCTTCATTTGGATGGATAGTAGTATCTCAGGAAGACAGATAGTTTAGATAGAGTTAAGAGTTATCGCGTTGACTATCGGGACTTATGGTCTTACTTTACCTTCTGGACTTGTGTCAGAATTACATGATTGTTATTTTGTACTTGCCATTAGCAACAATATTATTTCGATTTCATGTTTGGATTATTATGGTTTTCATTTTGTTATTGAGAACAAGACTTTATCTATTTATAGAGGTGTTTTATTTTATGGTAATGGTTACTTGTTTATTGGCTTTTATATTGTGGATGACAAACCGTTTGGACACATGCCAATCTATAATATTAGTACCAAGCGATTTAAGCTGAACGACTTAAACTCGACCTATCTCTGACATTATCGACTTGGTCACTATGACACCCATATCCCGATTTCCGTAAACAGGATGTGTCACATGGAGTAAAACCAATAAAATAATACCAAAACCAAAAATACGGAAAATTTTCAAAACTTTCAATACAAACACACAACGGAAACAATGATCAAATCTTAAAACAACACATGTCTTAATTAATTATAGTACAGTCGTACATGTTTATATAGTCATATTTTTACATTGGATGTCTAGCGCATTTCACGATATTTTGCATATTTATAGATATCCCTTGTACATTTTACACCGATTTCGATGTTTTTGATATTTTGCAGGAAAATTATAGCTTTGGGCAAAAATGAGCAATTTCTGAGGAAAAGACATGATCCGGAGCCAACCCGAAAATATTCTGAGTACCAAAGCGTCAAAGAGGAAATGCTTGCACGATATCGACATTACGAGCTCCATAACTTTCGCAACACAGGTCCAACTCATGCGTGTCATTAGAAAGACCTTTTCAATATCTATGCACAGACATAAAAATCACTCCAATCGGACATTGCATGAGAAAGTTATGATGAAAATACTATGAGTCTATATTCTGATGACGAAATGTGCAAGAGTGAGCCATTACGAGTCACATAACTTTCTCTATACAAGTCCAAATTACATGTGCATACATCATTGGAAAGACCTCTTCGATAGCTACATGTGGACACTAAGATCCCTTCAATCTGGCATTGGAGCCGAAAGTTATGAGGAAAAACTATGACTATGTCTTTTAGTGGCGACAAGAAGATAACTTTTCCTCAAAACACGGAGCTCGGGAATTATGGAGGAAAATGAGGAGAAAAATAGAGAATATTTTGTTCCTTTTCTTGGCTATAAAAGGGACACGAAGGGGAGGTTTAGAGGCATCATCCAACACATTAGAGAGTGAGTTTGAAGAGTAAATTGAGAGTTTCTTGAGAGAGATCCAAGGAGGAGTCAAGAGGAGAAGAGGAGGAGGAGGAGGAAAAAGAAGAGTCCTGCAACTATCACTAAGTATTCTCTTCTCTCTCTTTTAATTCTTGTCATGAACTTCTATTTGGATATTGATTATATGTTTTCCATGATGTGTGAGTAGTATTATCATTGTAGATTAGGGATTAAGGTTGTGTAAGGATCATGTAAACATAACCTATCTTTGAAACTAAGGGTTTTATGATTTGGTTTGAATGAATGAATCTTAATGTTATGAATTTTGTTGGCCACTTGATTTATTGAACCTAGAATTTAGTTTGCATAGAGATATGGAACTAAGTTTGGAACTCTTTCATTGGAATGGATGACCATTGCATTGAGAAATGAATGAACATCTAGGAATCATGATGGTGAATTTAATGCTCTTAAAAGTTTTAATCTATTTGGAATCGAGAGATCGGTAGGTTGAACTCTTAGGAAGAGAGGTGAGAACTCGAGAGAGTAATCCTCTATAGCAAGAACTTGAATTTCCTGAATCATAACTCTAGTTACAAAGATACATTCGTAGAAATGATCCTTACATAACCCGTAATTCCCGACACCTACAATGTTTTATAGAATTAATCTGTCTTTGCTTATATTTGCTTTAATTCGTTGATAATACATACTTTGAATGATGTTTTGATATAGGATGTCTAACGTATTTGATTCGGTTTTACATAATTGTAGACATTCTAGGGTACATTTGGTTTCGATATTGGTTGGTTGTGTTCTTTGGTTTTAAACAGGTTTTCATGCATAAAAAGAGCAAAAGGAATGGAAAACATGGGCTACGAAACATCACGGACAAAACGGAAACATTTGGAGTGTTTCCAGGGAAAACGTGAAGCTCAGAAAACGTCAGCATTTGTAAGTCCAATAACTTTCACTCTACAAGTCCAAGCATTCTCTACATCATTGGAAAGCTCTTCTCAATATCTACGCATAGACACCAAGATCACCCAAATCCGATATTGGAGCAAGAAGTTATGAACGAATTCGTGAAGCCCGTCAAAACTGCTCAGAGACACGAAACGATCGGTTCGGCATCGCAGAAATTGGAAAATTGCTCAGAAAGTGCAACCGATCGGTTTGGCTTTGCCGAAACGATCGGTTCGACCCCCAAATTCGGAAAAACTTCCAATTTTGCCCAAGCCGAAGTGAAATAAGAGGGGAAAGAATCTAGGTCGAAAATCATTCAACCTTTTATCAGAAAACACACCAAGAGCACAAGAAAAGGGGGTGATTATCAAGAGGCAAGGGATCGGAGTAGAAGACGGAGATTACGAAGTCGGAAAATCGACTAAGCATTCTTCATTTCTTCTATTTTACGATGTTTTGTATTATTGATATGAACCCCGACGTCTCGATGTTTAGCGAGTAGTTATTTTGCTGTAGGTTAGGGATTTGCTATGTAGGGATCTTTGGTTTTTAATTCCAGACTATGTGGTATTATTTATTTGATTCAGTTTATTGAGTTGTTCTTAATGCGTTTGATCTTGTTAGCCACTTGATTGAATGAACTTAAGGTTTTAATTCGCATAGACATATGGAATTCTAACCTGGAAATAACTCAGTAAATGGAACAGGTATTGCATCGAGAGATGAATATTTGCCTAGGGATTATGATAGCGTTCGTTTATGCATCCAGGGTTTAGACTATATATTGAATCGAGAGATTAGTAGGATAAAGCCTGGATAGTGAGGTTAGACTCGAGAGAGTTAATATCTACTTTAGAGCTTGAATTCCCTGAATTGGATTTAGAAACCACAGAATCTGCATCTTTAGAGACTACCCTTGCATGTAAAGCAATCCCGAAACATGCAGTGTTTATCATTCATAGTTACAACCTTTTTATTGTTCGTTTTGTCATATTCTCTCACTCATCTTATTTCCTCTAGACCTTAATTTGGATTTGGATTTGATTCAGTTGTTTACTTGTCCCTGTGTTC